TCCTTAATTGCTTTGAACTCCAGGGACAAAATTTGGCGGATTTGTCTGATCCTGGATCACAAAAAATGGGATTTCAAAATCTGATCGGATCTGATTGAGATTAAAAGTTTTGAACTCTTGGGCCCTGGAGATTGTGCTCCATCAGGACCAAAACCTCTCGCCACCTGAACAGCTTCTTCCCCTCTGATACCGGCCTCATTTACAAGGCCCGGGACCCCCACTGACAGTGACTATTATCCACCCCATAATAACATTATGCATTACATTAATGCACATCATGCAAACAGTATTTTGTTTTTATTTATTTCATTTAAGTATTGCCAGTTCTGTACAGCCCTCCAAATATTTGCACATCTGTACACAAGCTACCTCTCATCCACTATTCATAACAATACTGAACATATTTTATTGTATTATTGTAAATACATGGCAATAGTATATAGTATATAGTAGTACAGCACAGCACGTAGTTCCTTTTTTTGTATATCCAGATTACATGTAAATAATTTACATATTTATATTTTAACATTATGTCCTCAGCTGGTGGTCTCCAGGTGGCGGGTAATATGAGGCAAAGGTTCAGGTTGTCTCCTGCTACTTCAGATTTAGTCCAATAAACAAACTAAATGTACCACAATTAATAAGGAAATCTGTGTTTGTCTGTCTTTGTTGTAACAATGCTTCTTGGCAATACATCTTAAACTGTTGGAAAGCCTGTTAATGTACTTTTCAAATGGTGCCACATTACGGCCGTACGGCTGCCAGGAGACCTGCTATGACCAGTGGCGACTGGTCATTAGGGGCAGGTGGGGAACAGCCCCACCTAGTGTCAGCAGAAAGTATTAAAAATAATGATTACAACAAAATGCAAAAAATAAATTAAAAAATATATAAAATATATTTTAAGATCATGTTTAATCATCTGATTCGTCTGTACATTGCTGTTTTAGTCTGTGTTCTTCAAATTAGTGTCTACAGTGTGTGCCTATTGAGCTGTTTAGAGCCATGTGGGACAAAACCCGATCCTGCCCCTCCCTCTATCTGTGTAAGCAGACCCGGCGTCATGGGCGGGCCCCATGGGGCCGGGCCCGCCCATCCAGGATTTGGGCCCGCTGTTTTAATCAGGGCTGAATACAACATTTTAATTGTTTTATTATTATGTTCAGTGGCGGCGCCAAGGTATACTGGGGTAGGCTACAGCCATACCAAGAAATGGCTTAGCCCCACCATGAACAATGATTTTAAAGTAAGCTAAATAAAGTCCACCAACTCGCGCGGAGTAAATTGCACAGACAGCAGTAAATACCAAAGACTAGAAACGGTTTGAAAACTTTTGTCACGTAGTGATCGTCTTCTCAATAGAACATCTTTGATAATGTCTTCTGGCCAATCAGAATCACGATAACGGCGTGGTGTTGTTGCAGGAAGTCCCGACGGAGAATACTTTTGCTGTAGTACATCTCTATCAGTGACGTGCGGTGAGGTTCATGGCTGGTGAGGCACTGACTCTTTCAGAGTCAGATTTACAAATATTATATTTTGACCTTAATCGAAATGTTCGGTTATTTTCAAAAGCTTTTTTAGTCTGATGCTTCGATTCATTTTAAACAGACTGTTCAACAAAAGGATACCCCAAATCTAAATATTGGATTGTTCTTTCTTAGTAAGATCCCATGTTCATTTTACAATTGTGGTCTTACCTTGACTTGAAGATGAAGTCCATGATATCCTTCTGGACAACAATCTCCATTACATTTTTGTAAAAGTCCTCCTTATCTTCCTCTAGTTTCAAAACAAAAGTCTAGTTTGTTGTTACCGTCTCTGCGTAGAATAACAGTAGCAACAAGAACATGTGGGCTCACGTGCGCCCCCTTCAGTGCGGCAGAGGTTATGGCTGCCTCTCCAGGTGCTTTTTTCATTGCCGTTGTATGGTGAGACCAGCGAGCCTAAATATCATATACGTGAAATAAGTTATTTAGAGACTATGGATGGCGAGGATAAATGTAATAAAGGGATCTACAAACATTACATAGGTGACATACAGTGAGATGGTAACAGGCATGCGCTTAGGGCCCACTTTCCAGCCAGTTTCTGTGGGGTGACGCATTCTGAGGTGACCTGACCCCACAGTAACTGGCTTGAGCGCGCTCACAAAATAAGTGCCCGCGCTACATTAGTGCCCGCACTCCAGCCATTTACTGTGGGCTTAGGTGAGCCAGAGCTCGTCCCTGCCTCACTCCTCTTCGCTCCCATAGTTGTAGCGGAGCTCGGCCAATTTGCTGATTTTCACTATAAAAAGCGATTGTAATCATACAGAAATCACAACACAGATCAGTGGAGACATTTTATTATTATTACTATTTCGTTTTTCTTTAGTGGTTTTTCCGTTACATTGGAGTATGACAGGTGAGGCTCTGCCTCCCCTGACTGCACGTCGCTGATCTCTATACATCGATACAACATTACGTGTTGATAGAAATCAACACGTAATGAAATAAGACCCCACGGTTTGATGATTGATAGGTGTGTGGGTTGTCTTTCATTTTGACACACAGAACAATGGGGGCTATCCACCCTTATCCACAATGTAAAGTCATTCACAGCCTCTTCCCTCTTCTCTCTGTGAGGAGCAGCAGGTTCAGCTTTCAGAACAAAGTAACAGAAAACTAAAATGGCATTCATTTTTTAAATATGTCTTGTAGTAATAGATTTATTTATTTTTCTTCTCAAGAGAGTACCAGAATGTGTATTTTATGTTAGTATTTCCTGGGGGAGAATCCCCCCCCAGACCCCCCTGCAGGGGTTGGGTTTTCAGCATGTCAACTCTTTCACCTGTGGGGAAATTGCAGGATTGGCTCCAGCTGGTCGTCCTTTTTATTTACTACAACACAAATGTGCCTTTTTATTTCATACAGTTCAATTTGGATTGAGACAGGGAAATAATCTAAACCTCACGCATGGCGTTTCACTGTCATGGGGAGCGTGTATGTAATTACATTGCAAATACTGACTTGAGCCCCACCACTGTATGGGTTAGCCCTACCATAGATTACCCAACAAAAACACTCTGGAGCCCCCACTGATTATGTTTATTGTTGTTATTTGTAGGGCTTTGTCCTAATATTTATTTTTGTTTTAAACTATGTTGAAAGATTAGTTTAATATAATTTTTTTTATTATGCTATGATATTCAGAATTAAATTCTGAATGAAATTCTGAATGAAATTCTGAATGAAAGACTGCGCGCGAGACTGGTTTTTCGCTGGGTTGAGTCGTGTGGGTTTTTGAGTGAGATGCGGCACAGCAGCCTGTCAGTTTACGCTTGCTAGGTTAGTTTGGCTATTATCATTTATATTTATCTGCAACAATGGATATCAGGAAGTGGTTCACACTTATACACTTGAAAGGAATATGGCAACTCAGCGCCAGATGCAGGCACATTAGAAGACATCAGTTACCAACGAGCTAGCAAGCCAGCCAGGGACAAGGGAGGCTGGCAATCAATTATATTTTGAAGAGAAATTGACTCTCAAGCCGGCTCTCACAAACTCCTGCTCTGTAAGCAAGCAGACCGCTGCACATGCTCTCTGCCTCGCTCAATCTCTCTCTCTCTCCCTTTCTCTCAATCGCTCAACCTTACTCACCTCTCCACTCTGTGTGTGCTCAAGTTTGCCTGCATGCTTGCCCAAGTTGGCACAGCGTTACAAATGTGCCACAAAACCAACCAATGGATGTAGCCTATAATAAGACCGTCAACAGCCTTATGGCAACCTAAACCCCCCCCCCCCCCCCCTTGACAAATCTCGAGATTTCCCGGGAAATGTGAATTTCGGGGTGGGCCCGCCCTGGTAAATCAAATGCCCGCCCAGAGACGTATGTCTGCCGCCGGGTCTGTGTGTAAGTGAACGGTGACTACACTGCGCATGCTCAGAATATTTTCCTATTTAATGTGTGTGGCAAAAAAAATAATGACCATAGGGGCATAGAGCTGCCATCCCCACCATACGTCATCTCACATCATTCAGAGCTGATTGGCTGTAAGTACGTGTGCCGCGAAAAGTGTGGTGTGTGAAGAGGAGACGAGAGAGCTGCAGTGAGGCGTCCTAAAACCCGGAAGTAAGCTACGCATGGCTTCCCTCGACAAAAAAGCAATGAGATTTCTCCATAGGATTTTAGAAAATAGCTCCAAATAAGATCTGTGGGAAACGTAGCTGTTAGATAAATGCACGTTTTGTTCAGCCGGATAATATCCACATGTCTACCCTACTTTTATAATTTTCTAATCATAAATCTATTGATTAGATTAGATTTATGATAGACTTTTGAAACTACAAGAAGATAAGGAGGACTTTTACAAAAAAGTAATAGAGATTTTTGTCCAGAAGGATAGACAAATGGACTTAATCTTCAAGTCAAGGTAAGACTGCAATTTTATTGAAAATGGGATCTTACTAAGAGAGAACAATTCAATATTTAAATGATAACATTACATTTTTTGGGTATCCTTTTGTTGAACTGTCTGTTTAAAATTAATTGAAGCATCAGACAAAAAAAGCTTTTGAAAATAATATTATATTTTGATTTAGGTCAAAATATAATATTTGTAAACCTGAAGAGTCAGAGCCTCACCAGCCATGAACCTCACTGCAGAAGCTATAGACATCTAAGTTGTTTGTGCCCCACCACTTTTGTACATATAAAAACGCCACTCGCTATGACTGCCCTTCACTGTCAGGCCCGTTTGCGCTGGTGTCGGCAACACTTGCTCTGGAACCCCAACATGTGGAGGAACATTACGTTCAGCGATGAGTCCAGATTCTGCCAGAAGATGTGGAGAACCTTTGCTGATTGCTGCACCGATAGAGTAACATGTTTTGGTGGAAGAACCAGGCTTCTCATCTTCTCATCATTGGAGGTCCATGTCTTGTTTCATCAGACTTCAATCATCCAATCCACCAAACAACGGTCAACAGCAAAATAAAGCTGTTTGGCATTGACAGAGGACATTTGTCACATTTTTCATGGGTGCAACCCACATACTCAGCTCTGCTGCTCATCCCACAAATGCATGTTCCTCACAAATGGGGCACCATTTGAAAGGTAAATATACAGGCTTTCCAACAGTATAAGGATTATTGTCAAGAAGCATTGCTTCAACAAATAAATAATCTACCAAACACAAATGTCCTTACTTTTTGTGTTTGGTAGATTACTACTACTTTTATAAATATTTCAATTCTGAGACAGAAATGTTAAAATCTTAAAACCAGAGTGAAAACAATGGAGGTAATGAGGTAGTGAGAAAAAGCTCTTTAATGAGTAAAAGATCTAAACTTGCTTAGGAGCCTCGGACTGCATCTCATGGTCTTCACTTCAGTCATATGAACGTGTGATAGTATACAGGGGAGATAGTACCCCATGTCTCTGTATCAGCTGTGATCGTCCTTCTTCATCTTCCCCTGGAGTCCAATGACTCCTGCCGGATGACCTTTGACCTTTCCACAGTGGATGCTGTTAGAAGCTTTAGTCAGGTGTTGATTCAGTGTCCAGAGTCATGATGATGTCCTTACACCTTCTTCTCCCTCTCAGCGGGGTCCTGTCTTCGGGTTACACCAACAGAGGTCTTAAGGCCCTGACACACCTACCCGATTTTGGGAGTCAGAGGCCGTCAGAGGCAGTCGGGCATTCGCGGCGCCCTACTCAGGTTGGTGTGTCCCGCACCGTCATTTTCACCCCTCCCGCGGCCGATTCAACATGATGAATCAGCCAAAGAAAGTCGGCCAAAGAAATCACTCTGATTGGCTGTTGCCTCTTTTGAATGACTAATACACACTACCGCTGCCTGCTGGTAAGGACAGTTATTGCCACTCGTCGACTGAAGTCTTTGCGGTGTGTTCGTAGGCGGGCGGCGTAGCCGACGCAGGTGACGTAGCGGACGTAAAAGTCGGGACGCCTTCGGTACGCGTTCTTTGGTCTCAGGTTGGTGTGTAGCGGCCTTTAAAGGTCACCTATTATGCAAAATCCACTCTTTCATGTCTGTTCTATATAAACATGTGTCCCCTCTGCGTTAGGAGACTCTGAAGGTCTCAGGAACAAAGACCCCCTCTCTTTTTGTCCTGACCCATCTTTATTTAGGCACTGTCACTTTAGAAAAATCCAAGATGGCGTGTGTGTGGCCTGCCGTCCGTATCTGCGAGTGTTGTGTGTGTTTGTGCTGTTTTTGTCACTTTTTGCTCTAAATGTCAACTCTCTATTAGTATACGATTGCCAAACACTTCTGGATCTTCGTTTTTCGGCATTAAATCCTGTGAATTCGGATCGTGGACATAAAACGCTCCACCCGTTCTGGGAGTACCAGCTTACCTGTGCCGCACCCCGGCTCCAACTCCCCGCCGTAAACGCCACCGCGGAAAACGCAGTGGTCGACTGGTGAGGATGAAGGAATTGTCAGCTTGTCCTATCTCAAGGACTGAATACCTCGCCGTGCCTCACCTGTCTCTTCATCGTCGCTATCTGGACCCTGTCGATGCCTGGTTGGTACTGTTATCGGCCCGGACGAAGCTTTCCAGCCCGGCCGCGGGCCCTGCTCCCCTCGTCCCCGCAGGCGCGGGGTGAATCTGAATAACCTGTTGTCTATTTGTTGGACTCCCTCGACCTCAAACGCCGCGGACCCACTGGCTCCTGCCAGGTTTGGCCTCATAAACGCCAGATCATTGACAAACAAGACTTTTGTCATTAAGGAGTTCTTCACTTCAAAAGGACTGGATTTCCTCTTCGTCACTGAGACATGGCTCGGTACTGGTGAGTCCAGCGCATTTATCAAACGTTTACCTCAAGATTGCTGCTATTTTAACTCTCCACGGACTTCGGGCCGAGGCGGAGGAGTAGCTACAGTCTTTAGGAGTGATTTTAAATGTCAGCAACTATCGCTGTCATTCTCTCCTTGCAGCTTAGTTTGAACTGAGCGTGTTCGAGCTCGGCCGCTCTCACACAGTGCTGTGTGCAGTGGTCTATAGACCTCCTAAATACAATAAGGACTTCCTAAATGATTTCTCTGACTTTCTGGCTGAAATTATGCCGCAATATGACCATGTCCTTATTGTTGGGGATTTTAATATTCATGTGTGTTGTCCTGAGAAACCTATGGCAAAGGATTTTTTAAACCTCGTTGATTTAGTCTTGCTCAGTATGTGTCTGGCCCCACGCAAGAACGCGGACACACACTTTATATTGTTTTATCATATGGTTTGCCTGTTCTTAACTTGGAGATATGTGACGCTGTTTTCTCAGATCATATGCCTGTTTTATTTGATGTTACACTTGCCTGTACTACTGTCAAACCGCGCGCTGCTGCCCGGCTATCTCGTATCATTAACACTTTCACTGCTGGTCAGTTTTCGGCCATGTTTAATCATGAAAACGGTGTTATCCATGAGCCTATGTCTAACACTACGGAGGAGCTATAGCTTATGGTTTCACTCCACATGTAAAGCTGCTATGGACACTGTGGCTCCATTAAAAACAAGGCAACCCAAAACTAAATCCGAGCCTTGGCTAAATGCCACGACTCGGGCTGCCCGACGTGAATACCGTAGAGCTGAAAGAAGATGGAATAAGGACAAACTACAAGTCTCTTTTCAAATGCTGAGGCAGTGTTGGCGTCTCTATCAGAAAACTGTAAAAGAGGCAAAAAGAAAACATTTCTCTGACATCATTCTTTTAAACTGTCACAAACCTCATGTACTATTTCAGACAATAGATTCAGCTCTTAATGCCCCTCAGACTACCTGTGTGGAGACCTCCCCTGCAGTCTGTGAACATTTTCTTAAATTTTTTATTAATAAAGTCACTTCAACTAGGACTCAAATCACTGCTCCATCAAACGACACATCTGTCTCTGCCCCCTGCTTTGCTGTTTTTGACCGTTTTGAGCCTATGACTCTGTCCTCTGTGCAGGAGATTGTCTCCAAAATAAAACCCTCTGGTTCTCCAATCGACCCTGTCCCTCCTTGGTTTTTTAAAGAGGTATTCCCCACTATAGGACCTTTTGTTCTTGACGTTTTTAACAGCAGTCTGCTCACAGGGGTTGTTCCGGAAAATTGGAAACATGCTGTTGTACAACCACTTATTAAGAAACCTAGTCTGGATCCCACAGTTCTTGCAAACTTTAGGCCCATTTCCAAATTGCCTTTTATGTCCAAAATCCTAGAGAAGATTGTACACAGTCAACTTCTCGCTTTTCTGGAAGAGCACAAGGTACTCGAGGTCTTCCAATCCGGTTTTAAAACCTTGCACAGCACGGAATCAGCTCTTTTAAGAGTTTTTAATGATATCCTTTTAGCAACAGACTCAGGTGAATGCATTATCCTTTTACTCCTTGATCTAACGGCCACTTTTGATACAGTGGACCATGAGATCCCGATAGCTCGTTTGGAGCAGTGGGTGGGCATTAGGGGCAAAGCCCTCGAATGGTTTAGGTCAGGGGTACTCAAATACAAATCTTAAAGTTCCAAAATAAATGTTTTAATAAGACAAAGGTCCGTTTATTACGGTCATTCAAACTTTTAAACAATTGCAACAAGATTCTTAACACGAGGTTGCAAAAACAAAAATAATCTGTATGCAGCAGTTTTCATTGTTATTGTGTCTGTGCTTGACCCCTCAGAGTCGCAGTGTCAGAGCTGCACAGTTATGAATAAAGGCAACTGCACCCTTCTTTCATTCAGCATTCCCATTATTGCTTTATAAATGTATTCCCCCCTTGTGTGTCCACTGAGGTCTGTCAGGCCCAACACATCTTCAACAAACTCCCCCTTTGCCTCATCATAAAAACTCACAAACACCAGCAACTGAGCATTGTCAGTGGTGTCAGTGGACTCATCCACAGCTAAGGAAATGCACTGTGCATTTTTTATTCCATCACAAAGCTGATGAATCAAATCACCAGCCAGTATTTATGTTCTTCTGGTTGCTGTGGAATCTGAGAGGGGGATTTGCTTGACCTGTTATTTCCTCTTTTTGTTTGCCTTCACATGGTCTCCATCACTTCAGTCATGCATTCTTTTATACTCAGTTATTATCCAGTGGAATGTCCTTACCTACTGGCCTAGTTAAATCAAAGTGGTGACTTTTTTTTGGCTGGGCAGTGTAGTTTTACACACCGTCTGATTTGACTTTCTCAGGACTTGAAACAGTTTTTTGGGGGCAGACCCCCTCAAAGAAAACATTTTTTTTTACACACGTAAGGTAATCTTAATAGTTTTGTATGCTCATCCATGAGCAGAGCATCAAGTTGACATGTCTATTACAGCTGAATGCGGCGATTACCATTTTGTTCAGCAAAACGCCTCACAAACGTATTAAGATCAACAGCTTTAGTGCGTTTTGATTCAATGCTGAGTACAGCCACACTGACTGTCTCTTCTCTGTCGTTGCAGACCGCAAATACCTCATTCCTTCAGTGCTTGGGTCCGAATGCTTCTCGTTTTGCGCCGTCCCGTTCAAATGAAATCGCCACCAATCATATGTCCACGTTCGCGCCAGAACCGGGGGAGGGGTTACATGCTTTATATATACAGTCTATGGTTACATGACGTGCATCTTGTGCTGCATTCACTTGTACTCGGACATTAGAGACTTTCTCTCATAAATGTCCGATGAGCCACAACTTTTCTTTCAAAACAAAGCTGCCAACTGGGGTGGCAGCTGGGGTGGCAAGGCCTATTTTTAGGGTGTCAGTTGCCACCCCGGTAGGTGAAACTAGGCTACTAGCTACAGTACAGATGGAACTAGATGAGCTGTTAACTCTCGCTCTGATTTTTTTTTTTTTAAACTCTCGCTCTGACTCAGACAGGTTGAAAGAGACGAGACACACATTTTTCCCACCCGCATTCCGGGAAGACCCGCCCTACTGTGCCTCTGATTCGCAGATTGTTTGGGGGGAAAAAACGCTGACGGGATACTGAATGTGATTGGACCAATGCGTTGACAGACACACACAGACAGTGGAACAGGACATGCAGAGCGCTGTTTGCAGTCTATGGACATAGCGGATCATTTTGACTCGTTGCGTTGTGGCGATGTCTCGCAGATAACACAGATAATACATATGAAAAGTATAATTTGCTCAGAGTCCAGAGACAGATGTGGTTCGGTCCGGATCCGGACCGTAGTCCGGACTTTGAGGATGCCTGGTTTAGGTCGTATCTGACTGGTAGGACTTTCTGCGTCAGCCTTGGGGACTCTGAGTCCTCGTCTGCTCCTCTCCTTTGTGGGGTTCCACAGGGCTCAGTGTTAGGCCCCCTGTTGTTCTCCCTGTATTTGCTCCCTCTTGGGTCCATTCTTAGGAAGCACGGTATCGCTTTCCATTGCTATGCAGACGATTGCCAAATATATGTGCCACTTAAAAAGAACGACTCATATTCAATTAAACCGCTGTTAAACTGCCTTGAAGACATTCAATCCTGGATGTCATGCAACTTTTTTTAATTAAATGATGACAAAACCGAAGTGATGGTTTTTGGTGCCCCTCGGACCACTCCTATAGACCTAGGATCCCTGGGCCACTTCACCAGGCCTACCATCACAAATATTGGGATAAAGATGGACCCTGAACTCAAGCTTGACAGCCAGATCAAGGCAGTTGTTAAAAACAGCTTCTTCCACCTCAGGCAGCTAGCCAAAATAAAGCCTTTTTTAAATAGTGACCTCTTTGAAACGGTAATCCATGCCTTCGTCACCTCCCGCTTGGATTATTGTAATGCACTATATATGGGGATAAGTGCATCCTCCCTTGCTCGCCTGCAGATGGTGCAAAATGCGGCAGCACGGCTACTAACTGGCACACGCAAATACGAGCACATTTCCCCCATTTTATCTTCACTCCACTGGCTGCCCGTTCATTCGAGGAATAATTTAAAAACTATTTTATTTACTTTCAAAGCCCTCAATGGCCTGGCCCTGCCCTACCTCTCTGAGCTGTTACACAGCTACACGCCCACTCGCACTCTCAGGTCAGCTGATCAGTTACTCCTGAGTGTGCCAAAAACAAAGTCTAAGCGCAGAGGGGACCGTGCTTTCTCTGCTACCGCCCCTAAACTGTGGAACGACCTGCCCTTGCTCATCAGACAGGCTCCCACACTGTCTGCTTTTAAATCCCGTCTTAAAACCCACCTCTTCTCCTTAGCATTCGGAAACAAGTAGATTGTTGCTTTTATTTGCTTTCAGTGGTCTATTGTTTTTATGATATGGCTGTTATTTTTTAATTATTACGTTTATTCTGGTTTGTTTTGTGTTTGTATCTTGTATTTTAAATGTATTTATATTATGTTGTGTGAGCTTATCTCTCTATACAGCACTTTGGTCTGAAGGTTGTAAAGTGCTATATAAATAAAGTTGGATTGGATTAAAACCTGTCTGAAAATGAGCTGATCAGATGTTGGCCATTTTGTGATGTCACAAGGTTTCTTTGGGTTGTGCAACCATTAGCCAATAACCAACCAAGGTAACATCCGCCCACCTTATCACCTGAATCTCCTGATCAGATATATAATTCCTTTATTAGTCCCACAGAGGGGACATTTACATTGTTACAGCAAAGAGACAATAATGATAGAGACACAATTAAACAGTATTTAGTCAAGTAAAGTGGCATGCACACATTTTAAACATTTGAATAATTACTCATTCCAAGTATAAAAAGGTAAGTAGCAGCATTATACAAAAAATGTAGTAAGTTGCAGCTTCATAATTGGTATAATGTGAATTAAGCCGGTCATGTTGCCAAAATGAACCCTGACAGGCCGTTGCCCATTAGCCCTTACACATCAGGTACTACTACACTCCTCTTCACTGTTGCACTTGAACTCAAAGCTTTACTCTGGTAAGATAACAAATTAAGCTGTGGTTATTTGTAGACATTACAAAATGTTAAACAGGAACATCGTTTTGGTTAAAAAAATAAACAATCATTAGCCTTTTTTAATTAAGATGTGAAGTGAAAAGTGTGAGAGGGTGACTTTTACTTCTCTAGATTCAGTTCAAGATCACATCAGAAGGACCAAAAACACACACTATGTGAGTCCGGCCATCAGAGTGGCCATTATTCCATATAAGAACATGCTGTGGCCTTTGGTGCTAGTTTGTTTCCATCACAGATGTGAGGTAAACATCTGTTTGCATGCTCTGTAACCTCGCCCTTCATATTAGTTGTTTGAAGGGGAGTGTACCAGGAACAATGGAAATAAATGGGACAGGTAAGATTAGCAATCATGAATCACCATATCAAACTATGGGATTGCCACTCCCTCCCCTGCATCAGCAAGACCTTGCCCTCCGCTATAAAGCGCTGGAACTCTCTCATCTTCCTCAGAGTTCCCGAAGAAGCAAATGGCTATGGTTAAAGAGTGGCTGCTATGGCTGTCAATTGTAGCTGCCTGGTACAGCGGTAAATATATTATATTCCATTAGGACGCTTGACAATATAACAAAAGGGACTATTAACAGTTCAAATGTTTACCTGTGGGATGCAGTCTTGTTGTGTTTAAATATAGATTGAGATTTGTTATGGATTACTTGACAAAATAAAACGTACTTCTTTCATCAGATGCAACGTCTGCTGTGGACCCGTTCTCCTCCAGGTCCCAGATTCCTGAGAGAATAACAGGTGAGCTTTTTGGTTGTTGGTTCATAACTGTAAACAGCTTCCTTATGGAGGCAACATGTGAGAATCATGCATGGACCTAATGACACATTTATAAATGTCCTATCTCTCTCTGAAGGTGTAAGTCCCATCCACAATGGCCAGGTTTGCAGTACTTGGGGCAAATTCCACTACAAGACCTTTGATGGAGATGTTTTCCAGTTGCACTCCACCTGCAACTACGTCCTGACCTCTTCATGCAGGAGCTATTACAACGACTTCAACATCCAGATAAGAAGGGGGGAAGATGGCGACCACCACACCATCAAAAACATCATCATGAAGCTGGAGGGCTCGGTAGTGGAGCTCTCTGTGGGCTCAGTGGTCGTTAATGGCAAATCGTAAGTTAACCTTCAAAGCACTAACCCTAACCCACATATGAAATCTCATAACTTTAATAGAAATACACTGGGACTGTGACTTCATAAACAGTAACTTGGTTACCATGGAAACTTTAGTATGTTACTATTTAAGTCTATGTGTGGTATTCCTATTAAAACTGTTGAATTGTGTTGGGAAAAAATGTGGTTCAATGTTTTATGATTTTTACCTGCAAACAATCCCTGACAAAATGTCGGCAACTGTGAATGGATTTGGCTTGCTTACCAGAGGGTTGCTGGTCAAGAGTCCAAATGGACCAAGTAAGGGCACTGCCAAAGTGCCCTTGAGCAAAGCACCATAACCCCACACTACTCCCTGTATAGTAGCTGCCCACTGCTCCCAGGACTAGGACTTGTGTTGTGTACTTATGTAGGACGAGTAAATAAGGATATGATTAAAATCCTCTATTTCCATTTGCCTTTTTTGGATACCATTGAAAATCTCCCTTTGGCTCTAACTAGCATGAAATGATGTGACTTTTCTTTTTGCAGAGTTATCTTACCCTATAGTCAAACAGGTGTACTCATTGAGAGAAGTCCCACTTACATCAAAATCAAAGCAAAACTGGGATTATTTGCCATCTGGAATGAGGAAGACTCTTTTCTGGTAGGATTGTGTTGGCAGAGAAACATCTTTTATCGCCATTATTGTTGAATCACTTTTAAAGCTTTGAATTAAAGTGCGACAAGATGAGGCTGCACACTAAACAAATTATGTTTATAAGTTGTAATGGAATGCAACATTTCCATTTGTCAAGTAGAACCGCCATATTAATATTATTTAAAGCATCATATGTACTTTGATTTCTAAAAGTCGTGTTGATAATCAGAATTAGCATTGTATGGTGAATCATCTGCAGGTTCTAGCTGTCCCTTAATGCGATGGTTTTGTTCTCACAGGTGGAATTAGACCCAAAGTACAAGAACCAAACGTGTGGTCTTTGTGGAGACTTTAATGGAGTCTACAATGAGTTCTTCAGCCATGGTACACTTTAAGCCACATAAACAACTCCATCAGTGTAGGTTAGGCCAGAAAACTAAGATGTTTCTTTGATGTAACACAGGCGTGAAAATATCCCCAGTGGATTTTTCTAACTTCTGGAAAATGAATGGTCCAACTGAAAGCTGCTCTGACTACACACTGGAATCAACACAAAGCTGCAACTACATGGTGAGCTCCACCCACTCTATGGAAATAATAATATTCTTCTTCTTCTTCTTCTTCTTCTTCTTCTTCTTCTTCTTCTTCTTCTTCTTCTTCTTCTTCTTCTTCTTCTTCTTCTTCTTCTTCTTCTTCTTCTTCTTCTTCTTCTTCTTCTTCTTCTTCTTCTTCTTCTTCTTCTTCTTCTTCTTCTTCTTCTTCTTCTTCTTCTTCTTCTTCTGTGGTGGAGGTGTGTTTTTGAAGAGGGAAGAGGGATTTTCACTTTTATTTCGTTTGTTTCTGTTTAAATCGTTTCTTTAACTGTATGATCTTACGTGGGGATATTTGTACTCTTTGCAAGTACGCTTAATACTTTTTCATGAGTGTTTTTCCGTGCCTCGTGGCGGGGATGGCGTCCTTCGGGGCGCCGCCGGTGTCTCTGAGACACGGAGTGCGTTTTAGACGGTTTACCTGCAGACTTTTTTAAACATTTCTGGAGTATTCTGGGACATGACTTGCTAGAAGTATTGATGGAGTCCTTTGGGAAAGGGACTCTTCCAGCTTCCTGTAGGCGTGCAGTGATTTCACTGTTGCCTAAGAAAGGAGATCTAACCCTGCTTAAGAACTGGAGACCTGTGGCTCTCTTATGTACGGACTATAAGATACTGTCAAAGGTCTTAGCTAACAGACTGAAGTGTTTTATTGAACTTCTTATCGGTACTGATCAGACATATTGTATCCCTGGCAGATCAATTGTGGACAATTTGTTTTTGATGAGAGACACTTTTGATGTTTGCAAACTGTATAATATAAATGTTGGTATTATTTCTATTGACCAGGAGAAGGCGTTTGATCGTGTGGATCACACGTTTCTGGCTGCCACATTGCAGGCTTTTGGTGTTGGGGAGCATTTTTTGTCCTGGGTGAAGTGTTTGTACAGTGATGCATGTTGTGTTGTGAAGGTGGGGGGAGGGCTGAGCAGACCTGTACCAGTTAAAAGGGGGATCAGGCAGGGCTGCCCTATCTCAGGCCTATTGTATAGTATTGCCATCGAGCCGCTTTTGTGCAGACTTAGAAACCGTCAGAGGGGCCTGTGTCTGCCAGAGTCAGCTCAGGCCCCCCCGGTGGTTGTATCAGCTTATGCTGATGATGTCAGTGTTTTTGTCCAGGGTCAGCGAGATATCCAGGAGCTACAGGACAGTTTAGCTTTGTATAGGAAGGCTGCTTCAGCCAAAGTTAATTGGGAGAAGAGCGAGGCAGTATTGGTAGGTCGGTGGAGTCTAGAAAATAGGCCCAGTCTTCCTGGTAACCTTAGCTGGGGAAACAAGGGTTTAAAGGTCCTGGGAGTTTGGTTGGGGTCTGAGGACATGGTGGCACAGAACTGGGAGGGATTGCTGGGAAAGGTGCAAGCAAAATTAGCCAAATGGAAATGGCTGCTACCCCAGCTGTCTTACAGGGGAAGAGTTCTTGTAGCCAACAATCTGGTTGCCTCGTCTCTGTGGCACAGACTCCAGGTGTTAACCCCACCGCCGGGCCTCATGAAACAACTGCAGCGGCTCCTCGTGGATTTCTTCTGGTCGGGTCATCACTGGGTGCCAGCATCGGTCCTGTACCTGCCTGTGGCAGAGGGGGGCCAGGGCCTCGTGGACATTACTGCAAGGACTGCTGCTTTTAGACTGCAGGCAGCTCAGCGGCTGCTGTATGGTGCCTCTCCCTGCTGGCTGGCTGGCTATGGCCCGGCTGTTGCTCTGGAGGGCAGGGGGCTTTGGTTTTGATAAACACCTGTTTCTGCTGAAGGCCCCTGCGTACAAGATAACTGGACTTACACCTTTTTACTGCTCAGTCATCAATGCCTGGAAGATTCTGAGTTTTACCAGACCACCTGACCCCCGGCCTGGGATGTGGCTGTTTGAGGAGCTACTGTTTGACACTGGTTTTCTTTCTGGAACCCTTTTCTCTTCGGCCACCCTAAAAAATGCGTTCATTGAAGCGGGAGTGGTAAAACTTGGCCATTTGACGGGGGTCTCCACAGAAAAACTGGCTGAGGTGACGGGCATTCGATCAAACCGAGTTCTGGAGAACTTGGTAGATGAGGTGTGGCAGTCGCTGTCGCCATCCCACCGGACTTTTTCTCTAAATGCAGATCTGGCTGACCAGTGGAGAAAGGGACATGATTATGTTTTTCCTGCCTTGAGTGTGGGTCCTGCGGTGGGGGAATGGAGAGAGGAGGATGGTCTCCTGCTATCACTGGGGACTCTAACACCTGCAAAGTTCACCTCCTGCAATGGGAAGAAGCTATACCTTAGCTGTGTAAAGGTGTTAAACCTCAGCTCGCTCGCAGGCGTCAGAGAGTCGAGGTGGACGGATGTGTTTGGCTTGGGCTCTTCCCCTCAGGGCAGCTGGCGGATCCTGTATAAATCTCCAGTTGAGAAAAGGATGGCTGACATCCAATGGAGAATTATACACGGTGCAATAGCCACTAACAAATACAGAGCTCATTTTGACCCAGGCACAAGGGGGGGCTGTCCGTTCTGTTTTATGGCAGAAACATTGGAGCATTTAGTGGTGTCCTGTCCCCGATTGGCTGGTCTTAAAAAAATGTTACAGGGGTGAGTGGAAGGGTTCGGGGAGGTTTTCTCCATACCACTTTTTGTCCATGGCCCCAAATACATCCTGAAAAAGAAAGAAACCCTACTTTTGATGAATTTCTTGTTTGCTAATGCAAAATTAGCAATCTGGAAAAGTAGGAAGAACCAACTTGCTGGAGTGGGATGGGCGGATGCAGTGCTCTGTCTGAGGGGGTTGGTGGCAGCGCGTCTGAGGGTGGAGCATGCGTACTATACACTGATCAATCATCTGCAGGGGTTTCTGGATGTGTGGGCTGTTGGGCAGGTTCTGTGCTCGCTGGGGGAGAATGACTCTCTAATATTGAAGTTTTAAAGGATAGGTGTAGTTTTTGTTTTTAAAGTGTGTAAAAGAGGATGTTTTTAAATGGGTAAAACATTTTCAAATGGGGTTTTCAAATAATATTTATTTGGTTGTCATGAAAATCTGTTTATTTATTTATTTGATTGTGTAATGTATTAGTTCTGTTCCGACTCTTTTGCAGGGTGGGTGTATGTTTAAAACAAATGCAAATAAAATTTGTTTTAAAAATCTTCTTCTTCTTCTTCTTCTTCTTCTGTGGTGGAGGTGTGTTTTTGAAGAGGGAAGAGGGATTTTCACTTTTATTTCGTTTGTTTCTGTTTCAATCGTTTCTTTAACTGTATGATCTTACGTGGGGATATTTGTACTCTTTGAAAGTACGGTTAATACTTTTTCGTGAGTGTTTTTCCGTGCCTCGTGGCGGGGATGGCGTCCTTCGGGGCGCCGCCGGTGTCTCTGAGACACGGAGTGCGTTTGGTGGCTCAGGCCGCAAGCACAGTGGAGCAGGTGCTGCTGGCTGTGGGGGAGCAGGTCGGTCATGTAAACATCTCCTATGCTTCCCGCATGATCAAAGCGGTCGTGGTCTTTTTGAAAGACCAGAAATATGTGACGGAACTTATTGAGAGCGGATTAATGGTAAACGAGGAATATATTCAAGTGTCGCCGTTGGCGACACCGTCCACGCGGATCACTGTGTCTGGCGTTCCTCCATTCATTCCGAATGAGGCGCTGGAACGGGAGCTGAAGCGTTTCGGTAAGTTTGCCAGTACTCTCCGCACTGTTGCTCTGGGGTGTAAGGATGAAAAGCTAAAACATATCCAATCTCTGCGGAGACAGGTGTTCATGTTTCTGAATTGTCCCACTCAGACACTAGATGTGTCTTTCCGGGTGAGGCACGAAGAGGGTTTTTTATATGGTTTATGCGAGCTCAGGGAACGTAAAGTGTTTTGTGTGCGGAGAGTCGGGTCACAAACGTGTTGCATGTCCACAGAGACGGCACGCCACTCCGCCGGGGCAGCCGAGCCCGGGGCAGCCGAGCCCGGGGCCGCCGAGCCCGGGGCCGCCGAGCCCGGGGCCGCCGAGCCCGGGGCCGCCGAGCCCGGGGCCGCCGAGCCCGGGGCCGCCGAGCCCGGGGCCGCCGAGCCCGGGGCCGCTAGGTCGGCGGCCGCGGAGGCCGGTGTCGCGGGGGCTGCTGTTGCACCCGCCGGGGCCCCAGGGGCTGCGGATGAAGTAGGGATGAATATCGTGAGAGATGAAACAGGGATTGTAGAGAGTGTGGTGAGTGTGAGAGAAAAAAATGTGGAAACAGGTAAACGGGTGGGAGATGATGTAGCAGGACTGGTGCTGTGGGACAGGTGGAGGCTGTTGGCACACAGCAGGAGCTGCCGTCTGGTTCTGGGAGGCAAAAAGAGCTTCAACAGGCTGCAGACAATAATGAGGTGACAGAGATGGACACAGACGGTGAGGGGGATTCTGACTGTGTTTCAGTTGCAGATAGTCTCTCTCAGAACGCAGAGATATATTCTTTGGAAGAGATTAATGTCTTTTTAGATGAGTCCTTTGGCAAGGCAGTGGAAGTGAGAGACTTTTCCCCTGACACTAACAAGTTTCTTCATACAGTGAGCACTCTTCAGAAAGTTGTAGGGTTAGACCTGCTGGAAGAAAAGAGACGCTATCGTCTCAGGAAGCATGTACTAATATGAAAAAAGTTACGAAAGGAAGCAAAAAAGGGGGGAAACTGAAAAGGTCTAAATAGTTTCAAAATGATCATGCAACACTGGGTGTCTCCTCTCTGCTGTGTGTACCTGTCTGTTGTTTTTCTCTATCTCCTTCCTCTAATGCAGGCTTTAAGGGTTGCTTCTTTAAACATTAACGGGGGTAGAAGTGCACAGAAAAGAGCTTTAGTGTTGGAGGTCTTTAATCAGAAAAAATTAGATGTGATATTTCTGCAGGAAACACACAGTGATAGCCTGAATGAGACGGACTGGGGAATGTGGTGGGGGGGTCAGTATGTACTCAGTCATGGCTCAAACCTTAGTGCTGGAGTAGCTGTTTTTTTCTCCCCCTCTCTAAATGTTAAGATGTGATCCAGCACAGAGATAGTG